AATTACAGTTTTATTTTTGATTCTGCGGTCGACTCATGACAACATTTGCTGCACATAAAACTTTTAGACTGTATACGTATACAAAAACCTTGCAGCTGTCTCGGAAATACAATAAAGAAGAATCCTGCGCTTGCAGAAATGAGCTGCGAGCTTTAGTATAAAAAAAAAGTGTGTTCGAAAATTTCATATGTACATGTTACGCGTTTCCCCGAATTCAGTCCAAAACATACGGATCAGTATAATGAGTAGCCCTAGAGACGCTCTGTAGATATGTGTAAGAATCGATGAGTACTTCTTTATCGACGCTGATCGACTTTGCCAGGTTTGCCTGCGGCTCCAGCATCCCCAAAGCGGCACGGCCCAAAGCGATAGCGAATCTATACCGTTGATTTCTTACTGCTTAAGTTTTACTGCTTAAGGGGCAGGAGACACGGTGGAGACCTCTGTCGGGTTGGCTTAGCTGCGACTCGCTGCTAGTCCGTATTTTATTTATTATAAATTTTTAAGAGCCAAAATGCAAAATCGGGCTCTTTACCTCCCTGCATTATCCATTTATAAAAAAGGCGTGTTACCTGAGTGAATTTCGTTTGTATCGTAAAATTGAAGCCTCTTTTCCGCGACGCCGATTGGCTATCTCGATTGATTGCCGCGCCGCGAGCTTGCTTCATCCCGTGAGGGACTGTCATCGCGGAGTGTGGTGCGTGTAGTGCGTCGTGTGTGTCATGATGTGACAGCTCGCGTCGTGTCGCGAGGTTAATCGTCCCGCGTCGTGTCGCGATTATTATAATGTTAAAGCTAAATGGCGCGCGCGAAGCGCGCGCGTCTGTAGTGTCTAGTTATATAAAAAGTATATTAAAAAAAATTCACGAATCTATGTAACTTATTTTATGAGAAATATGGATATTACGAATCCGTAATTCCTCTCTCATTATTCCGTGTAGGGCGTCGTCGTACCAATTCGACCATCGAGGCATGTGGTAATATTCATCGCAAATCATTCCAAGTTCGAACCCTGGCTGAGATAATATTTTTTGCAATAAATTTCTTTACAGTTTTTAGATAATTAAATCGAGTCGATTTAATTCCGGAGAGGGAAGGGGTTTTTAATTCTAACAATTACTGTGTTTTAAGTCCGAAAATTTAATCGGCGCGCAGTGGTTTAAAAAATTTATATGTATATATATAGTATATATGCATATAGAAACTAATATGAGGCTGCCAAAAGACCTAGGCTTGGATCGCATGGCTTTGTTACTAAATTGATTGTTTATCGTTACGATCCTATTTCTCTTATTATTAAATGTGGAATGTTTATTGCAGAAAAATTATAAATGGTTGTGTGAAAGAGTCATTGTATCCCCAAGAAACGAATTTGTGAATGACATTAATGATATCATTTTGAAAAAATCCAAGGGGATAATAAAAAGTACAAATCAATCGATACTGTGATTAACATGGAAGACACAGTACATTATCCTAAAAAATTTTTGAATAGTTTAAATCCGTCTGGTCTTTCATCACACCGTCTTTCACCGTCTGATTTTGAAGAATGGTATACTAATCATTTTGTTGCGCAATTTAAATCCACCGAATTTATGTAATGGTACCAGACTTCAAATAAAAAAATTGCCTAACAACATCATTGAAGCCACTATATTTACCGGCACCGCAGAAGGGAAGTTGGCGCATATTCCGCGTATTCCGATCATCCCAAATGACCTACCATTTTCCTTCAAACGTTTACAATTTTCAGTCAAAGTTTCTTTTGCGTTAACGATTAATACATCACAAACTTTCAAATTTGTGGGCATAGATTTAAAAAAAGAGTGTTTTTCACACGGACAACTTTACGTTGGTTTATCTAGAATAGGAAACGCTGAAAATCAAATATATTTTGATACCAAAGGGAAATAAAACAAAAAATATAGTATATTCAGAAGTCCTATAAGTCTTACGTCAGAGCTCGGCAACAAATGCACGTTTTGGTAAATTTTCAGCTGGTTCCGCCTAGCGCTATTCTTTTTACTTCGTTGGTCCGCGCGCAGCCTGTAAAAGGTCTCAAAAGTCGACTTGAATTATCTGTATTTCAAAGAGTCGAAACGATTTGTGGATTAGAGATCACTAAAAAAAAAAACGCGTTAATAATAGTACCTCATGGGTGATGTGGAAATCTATTGAAAATATGTGTTTATGAATCATACATTGGTGGATAAGATTAGCTAGAACACAAATGTAATAACACAAATAAAGTTGTTTAAAAAAAAGACGCCCGTGCGAAGCCTCGGGTAACCAGTATATTATATTTCAAAAGCTAGTAATTAATATATATTACACTCGAAATTATTAAGTTAAATTGGAGAAAATTAATATTAAACTATTTTGGATTGCGCTGGGAAAGTTCTGGCCGTTTCAGAAAATTCTTGACGAAAAATCTGTTCACGTTTCGGAACATTCGCGAAACTTCTGTCGAAATCTACCTGAGCATTAGCAAAAAGTCATCGATGCGGATAGTGTCTACTTTTTGAAATAATCCGCTTAATCCAAATCATTGTTATAATAAATCCTCTAGAGTATCTATAGTATATAGTATTTTATAGCACTTTTTATAGCAGTTTCGTAGTATTTTTTTGTCACAAAAATTCGAAGCGGTGCACTCGTGCGATACGTGCAACGAGGAAGCTAACCAATGGCTGACTATTGGTCAATGATGACCATCACGCACAGGTGATCCAATAATTAATCACGATTATTATTATTATCAGAGTTCCGCGTTTACGCGTAAAATATAATAATCCACATCTAACAAGAAAGAGAAAGTCTCGGCGCTACCGGGCCATTGGGGTTGCCAGCCCCTTCGGCCTGCATTAGTTAGTTTTACTATTCGCTTGGACTTTTCTTCTTATCTATCGTGTTTATGTGTTTGCAATTTGTGGCGTAGTGGATATGATTACTGCTTCATAATTATTTTATTTATGTTGTACCTATTATTTGGTTTACTGGATTAAAAGAGCCAATAGGCCTGTTCTTTTTAGCTAAACTACTTATGCGCAGTTCATTTTTTCTCTTTTTCTTTTCACGTTAGAGAGAAAGAGAGAGAAGATAAACCGTGGAAGAAGTTTAGCTAAAAAGAATAGGCTTTTTGTTTTGTGTTGCTAAAATATGCCATTGAGTCGTCTCATCGTTTCGTCGACCCATTGCTCTTACTGCGCTCTTCCCTCCTTAATTATCTGTCGACAAATCCTACCACACCCTCTCTGTAGTGCTAATCGGGCAAAGTTAATGCTGGCGGTATTTAATCGTCAAAAATAAAATAAAAAATGTGGGAGGATTTAATAAAACTCCACAGGGTGTCAAGATCAGTTTATTACATGACGACTCAATCGCTACTCTTACCACGACGAGCGATCCCGAACTTGATCGTGCGGGTCCCTGGTAAGTATTTGTCGAAGACATCTGACGCACAATTTTCGCGGTGACATTTGTTGTTATATATCGTAATCGAGCCGCGAGTTAGCGGCCGTCGTAAACAAGGTGCCTATGCTACTGAGACGGATTGCTACAAAAATAATAAATAAAAATTAATATCTCATAAAAATTACAAAAAAAAAATCTTTATTAGTTGGTTGGGACTTTGGTTTGGGACACTTGGTCCAACTAGCCTCATACAATATGTATTGATTGAATATTTTGTTATAACTAAAAAACCATAAATAAAACAGCAAGTTGAACATTACAGTTAAAAAATGTAATAATTACTTATGTTAAAAAAAATTACCTGGCTTTTGATAGTCACTTTAACCCTATTCACTCCAACGTTTTTTCCACCCCTTTAATCCTCCAACCATGCACTTTCAAGCCAGACGTGTTTTTCAAAATGTTAATAGCTTTGAAAAATTCCCCAAAAATTATTATAATATCTTTGTACCTTCGACTAAAAATCAATGTAAAGAAGATTTGGAAATCATTTATTTAAATATTTTTTTTACAAGTGTTAGAAACTCCGCCTTTTTACGAGTGTTAGAAACTCGTGGGACACGAAAAGGCGGGTTGGAGTGAATAGGGTTTTACCATGTTATAGACCAAAAACTATAAAAAAATGATAATTTTACTTTTAGTATACAAAAGAAGCAACCCAGACAGCGCACGCATGTTCAATCGGGACATAAGACGTTTTAAAGATTTTTAAGATATTTTTAAGATATCTTTTAGAGAGAGACGGGGGCGAGGGTGTAGATAATGCAATGTGACGTTCATCCAGCAGGCGCACTGCTTATCGGCAGGCAGTTTGTGCTTGTGGCGTCTGGTGCCGCAGGTGTGGTGATGATGGTAGTCGTGGTGGACGTGGTGGTGAGGATGATGATAGTAATGGTAGTGGTAGTGATGGCCAGTAGTCGATAGCAAAATTTTGATAAGAATAGTTGAGTGTTGCGATAATTTGACCAGTGTATACCTACTATCTTAATTTGTACATTTAACTTTTTAAATACTTATATACAATAAATAATTTTGTTCCGCCAATATTTAACAACAAAAAAAGTATTTATTTCGACAACTTTTGACAACAGAAATTAAAAATAAACGTCATGACGTTTCGACCCTCGGAGTTCGGGTTCAACTGCGTTTGACTTTCAAAGCCCACTTTTCTTTGTAACTCGTTTAATATCGAGAAGTCTTTAATTAATTAGCCATTTATTTTAAAAAATGTGTATGATATCTATTATGCTATTTAGCCACAATACCGTTCAAAATCATCCAGTGCGCCAATATGAATCTACAAGTCCGACACACACACATAACAAGATCTTCTAAACTATTTCAACATTAATATGATTTATACAATTTATTTAATTATATAAATTGTATAAATTTATACAATTTATTTAATTATATAAATTGTATAAATTAATCTATATTTATATATTTTTTATTTTCAATTATTTTATTAACACTTTATTTGTTAAAAATAAAAACATAAAATATTATTTAGTAAAAATTCTCGCGATATTTTCTTAAAAATAAAGAAATTTTTTTAAAGCATTTGACGTGAAACGGTTTCTAAAAATGTGGCGAAATCTTCTTCTGGTTCCAGATGTAAAAGACGACAGGATACATTCCACAATTTTTCGGCGTAATGACGATTGTTTGCCTTCCGATATGTAGTGGAAACGCCACAGTTTCTATGTACAAAAAAATGTACAAAAAAAGAAACATAAACATATATATTACAAAACAATTTTGTATAGCACATAGTGTATATTCTTACGAATAATAAAGACCGGTCTCATTTGCTGTCTTTTCATCTACAGAACAATATATAGTAGTTTGCGCTCCTTGTTCAGCATTTTTAAAAATCAATCGTACTATAGTAGTAAAACAAAAATTTGGACATACTGCATTATTGGACATACGCCATAATACTTCAGTCGGTATAATACCAGGATGTATACAGTACACATTTATTCCGTGAATGTTTGCCTCTGAAAATCGAAACTTGCTTAACTTTTTATACTTTGTATAACTGTTTATAAATATATTTTGTACAACTAAAATCTATCCTCTGGGGATTTTTCTTCATTGCGTAACAAACAATTATTGATTAGTAATTGTTAAATTTAATAAGCCACTATTAAATAAATGTAACCTGTTCTAATTGATAACGTCTTTTTACTCTTTTTAGCATACTTCTCAATCGATCAGCGAGCTCCTTAGTGAACAGAATGTTTGCTAGTTTGCTTCGTGCATAACTTTTAAATAGTGCATAGGATCTCTCTAGATTAATATCATCAAAATCTATGTCAGCACCTATAATAGAATGATTTTGTTATAGTTGTACTTCAAACAAAAGCCGGGTGTATACAAAAAACATTTTAGTCTATTTCTAAAGTCACCATAATCGCTTTACATACAAATATATGTTAATGATGAGACATTGATTATTCTGCAGTTGGGAGAAGACGATTGCATTTTTGGTAGTAACAGAAGTGTCAAAAGAAAGTGGCTAAGATGGTTGACTTGTAGTGTCGTCTCATTTCCATCTTCCGTCTTCTCGTACGAAGACGCAGCAGCCATACCGGCATTATTTATGAGTATGTGAATAGCTACTTCGTTTGTCAGCAAGTTTTTAGCACAGTCGCCCACGCTCTTAAAACTACGTAGATCCAATAAATAAATCGCAAGCTCACCTACATTATTTTTATATTCAACCTTTGTGACCCTAAAAGTAACCATTGATTTACAGACAACGTCGTTATTTTCTCCATCATGGAAAATTTAATTAAGATAAATATAATTTCATAAAGACACAAAACGAATAAATTAAAATAAATAGTACAATTAATTTAATTGCTTCTTATAATATAAGTTTATATATTTACCATGAAGGTGGATTGTTCTTTATATCTTCAACTGCTTCATTTGTCTTTTCCATATTTCTACAAGCCAGAATTACTCTAGCGCCTAAATGTATACGTTATTTATACGAATGTGTTTAAGAGGAGGTATACTTTTTAATTATAGAGTCGTAAAGAAAATTTTATGGATTTCTAAATGAAGCAAACATAATCAAAAAACTGAAATATTCCAGTAAAGAAATGAATATAGTGTTCTCATGAAACATCGTTATAACAATGGTTGTATAACAATGACACTTGGCATTATTGTCATCTCTTAATGAATAACAAATTTATATTTTATTAATGTTATATAATATCTACTTAAATTTAACAGGGTTTAGGGTAACTTAAATTATTATTTCAATAAAATCACCTCTCGCGTATAAGTCTCTGGCAGTCTCCTTGCCGATACCACTACTTGCTCCCGTTATCACAACAGTTTTACCGTCAAGACGCGTTTTGCTCGTACACATTTTATTGAAGAACCACATTCTATGATGCTTCTTTATCCACGATGTCACCAATATGCGATTATAACTACTTTTATTGAGATTTATTATTATTCACTATATCGATTTCACTGAACACGCTATATTCGATTGAACGAGTTTGTTTATTGAATAGTCACAGGCTTTGTTTTCGTGTTCTTATATATACACTGCAGCTCATACTTGACTATAAAAATGATGACCTGAGATAAGCAAATAAATGTGCGTAAATGATAATTTTGAATGTATAGTTTCGTGATGTACAGTAGCATTTAAAAGTATTTTATAGATAATATTTTAGCTGGTAACATTGGCAAGCGGTAAGCGACTTTAAAAATCAAAGTTATTATATATAACTATATAAGTGGCCTTTCTAATGTTACACACTAATCACTATAATATATCGGTGAGTTGCCTGTTTTACTTCAAATAATATATAATATTCAATATGAAGAATAGGGCAAGGAAAGCCGTAACAGGATGTTTGTGTTGAATTATTATTTTTAATAGACAAACATTTAATAGACAAATATATAATATATAATAATAATAATAATAAAAAGAATCATGCAAGGTATATGTTAATAAATAGAGATAGACGAATTTAATACAATTAATAAAGAAATTTTCACAAAATACAATAAACTTTTATATTTTATTATATTAATATTTTATTATTACAATAATCAATATTGTAATAATATTATATAGCAGTTATGTCTGTATTTGCTGGAATACTTTTCCGAATGCAAATAAAACTTTCACTGAAATTTTTTTTTTCAAAATATTTAAAACCTTGCTAACATTTATAAAGTTATTTAGCTGCTATTTCATCGCATTTATAATACTAGATATCAATGTGCAAGAAAGACGGCAGGCGATTACGGCCAATATCTATCTCTTTCTATTTAACACTATAATACTGGTCGAAAAGAGACAGAGGTTGGCTGCAAATGCGCTCTATTTCACTCATATTTTGTAGGATCGTGTTTCGTATACGAGTAAAGTAGGGATCGCGCCATCCATACTATAAGGTTGATGTCTGTGCTAACTATCTTTCGTTTGTAACTGCAGCGGGAATCCACGGGATGCCGCTGGCAAATTGTAAATTCCACGAAAAGCTATATATTTGAACAACAATTCCTAAAGTTAGATGTCGCCTATGGCCAAGTGTTTTCAACACTCGCCTATGTTACGAAAGCGAGTCAACAAAAACAAAATATCTGATTATTACGAAAATTCTATAAAATTGTAATTTTGTAATTCTGATACTGTTTACTATCGTTTACTTGAATTATGTTGCGTGCATAAACGTTACCAAAATAAATCTCAAGATGGCATTATAAGGATTGTAATAGGGGAATTTGATGTAAATTTATATTAAATACACGCATTTTTTTTCGTTATAAATTTTCACAGATTGATTCTGACGTATTCTACTTTTGTCGAATAAATTTTACGAATCTATGCTTTTTATGTTAATCATCTAAATATAATCAGGATCGGTTATTGGCGCTATTACGTAACACGTCTGTCATATATCTGTTTATTATTTTAAAATTTATTTTACTGATAACGTGCTGATAAGTTGAATTAATACATACACAATTGACGGAAGAACTGTGTTATAAAGTTATCTAATTGTTTATTTTACATTTGAGCAAATAATTATGCTACAGTTATTTTATCTAATCAGATTTTTCTATATACTTCAGTCCATAGATTAGATTCTGTTATCGCTGCCTCCGGAATGTTCCAAAAATATAAAAAATTTTAATTTTTAATTATTCCAGGAACTGCGATATTAAGTTCCAATTGAATATCTGATAGCATATTGCATGAGAGATTAGAGTAACTTCGGTGGAAAATTACGACACGCCATTTACAGTTCGTTTGTAACCGCTGTAACGTTATGTGACTTACAATAATACACATTGTAACAAATAAACATTGTAAACTTTATATCGTTGTGTTTTATTAATTTATAATATACACGCGCAGAATGTAAAATTAAAAGTAAATAAAACGAGCTATTTTTGAGAGCTAAAGGTAAAAAAAGTAAAAGGTAAAAGATTACAGGTACAAAAGATTTCTATTGCTTTTAGAGATAACAATAAAATCTTTTTTACCTTTGCACTTTCTTTTATGATTTAATAGAACTTTATGGTCTGTCACATGCTACAGCTGCCGAATTCTTTAGAAAGAAAATAGGCAGGAACGTAAGCCTTCGTTTTTTTCGTTTGAAGCATAGACATGTCATAAATCAGTCGTCTCCGTCTTCTGCATACAAAAGTGCTAATTCTGAAAACAGCAAATAAATCTTTTAAGAAATATTTCATCTCTTCCTTCATTTATTTTAACATAAAATATGAATTGCCGGCTAAGATATTCGCTTTTCCCAGTGACTTTGGTTCAATAATCTTATACACGATAGATTAATGGTCTTACTTTTTGTTAGGTATAAATTTCGTTTTCGCAACACATTCTTCGCATAGCATTCTTGCAATTAGTTTTGGAGCTTATCCCATCCCTGAAATACTAAAATAAAGAGTGATTGACAGGTAATGGACTTAACTTCAAAAAATCTTTAGAAAGTAAAGAAGAATGCAGTTGCTATTCACATTTATATTTTTAATTATTACATGCACTATAAATAACAAACAAAAATAAGGTTTATTACATTTGCGATTTTCTTATTCACTTTTTATAACAACAAAAAAAAAACGCTTTGATTTAGTAAAACTTAAGGCAGTTAGTCCGCGACGATACAATCCAAAATTTCATACTCTAAATCAACATGAAAATATCCGATTATTTATGGTTACCAATTGAAAACTTTTATTTGCTTGAACAGTTCTGTCCCTCACACACAGAACAAAAGACTATTCTTTTATTTTTCTCCTCCAGTCGCTTTTTTACGTTAAATAATCGCGAAAATCGAGGTATTTCATGAAGTAAGAGTAAGGAGAGGTATCTACCTAGAGATCAAAAGTGGTCATGAAAAACGTTCCGTATATGGCCAGGTTTGCCGAATGGAATAATTTGGACCATTTCGTCGTCATCTTAAATCTTCGTATGTGTCACGTTCGTGTTAGGTTTAGTTGGGTTAGTATTAGTAAGTGTGTTTGGATAATAAATAATTTTGATAAATACATTTTAAAGTGTGTATAAAGGATCTAGACCGGTTCCACGGGTACCTGGATAATTCGGATATCCGTATTGATGCGGGTACCCGTATATATTAACACGAGTTCCCGAATTATCTGGACACCCGTGAAACCGGTCCAGATCCTTTACACTCACTTTAAAATGTATTATCAAAATTATTTATCACCCAACACTACACACTTATTAGTCCAACTAAACACAACATGAACGTGACACATATGAAGATTCAGATCACGAAATAGATCAAGTTATTCCATTCGACAAACCTGGCCACATATGAAACATTTTTCGCGATCACTTTTTCCGCTCTATACTATAAGAGAGATACCTCTCCTTACTCTTACTTTCTGGTCTATTTATTGTTGTAAAATTCAAAGTATAGGTTCTCATGAAAAATCCGTACAAATAAACCTAGCTAACTAAGAAACAGGGCGGTAAATAATGCGCGAAAGTTTTATTTATATTTTTATTTTACATATTTTCCAACCCCTTTGACTGCGTGCCGACTAGATTTGTCAGACTTGAAACACAGCTCCGGTTGGAATAGTAAAATCCCCCCCTACACCTAATTAAATCGATTCGAGTTAGCATTTAGAAAGGTTTAAAAATTATTATTTAACAATGCGTTTTTTTCTTGACACGACTAGATTAATCCAAAAAATTGCATCATTGTTTACATCGTGAATATTACATCGCAAAATTTGCGCGAAACGCAGTGCTGTAAATAAAAAAATTTACATTTTGTGGAAAAATATTAATTTAAATGGAACATGCGGGTAATCGGTAAATACGGGATTCTAGTGCATCTAACAATGCAGGAAGGAAGAGATATATATCGCATTTCGTTGTTCGCGCTATGAGTACTGCGCTCACATTTCACGACGCACGTTTTAATCCGTTAGCGTCAAGAATACGAAGGACGCAATCTTAAGCTACCCATGCATATACGCGTTTACATGCAACTGAACAGGCAACCAAATAGTTTCAACACAGATCAACAACAACGATGCGCTATTCAGCATGGATTGTACACATATTTGTATTTTGTATGTCTCGTGCAACTGTATCACGTGTTTGCATGTATTTTCAGAGATGCAAAAACAAAGGCAAATAAAGTAAAATTGGTAAAATTATGTATAAAATAATATGAAACTTATATGTAAAATTATTCAGATAATTTTAATATAATTATAATATTATTTAACAGTTAATAAAAGTTAATGAAAGTTAAAATAATTAACTAAGTTTAATTCACACGTATGTGCTGCGGTTTGTGAGTACGAAAAATGTGTATACAAATAGCATATTTTATTGTAAACAAGATCAGTTTCTTTTTTCGATAAATTTCGAAATGTCAAAATCTTGAATCAACAAATGACTGGACGGTATGTTATTTATAGACGGGATACAGACGATAAACGTAAAAGAAAAACACGAAGTACATTATTGATTTAAGCATGGACATCACCCAACAACGCAACATGCAGACACCATAAATTATACAATTTACACACGATAGGAATTCGCTGAAATCAGTGTCAATAATATAAAATAAACAATTAAATCCGCTAGCTTGTCCTTCTTATTTGGGCACGCCCCAGTCATTTTTATTATATCTACACTTCTGAAGCATTACTTTCTCTTGCTCCGTAGTTCTCATTATATTTTTATTGTAGATAATCTATATAGATAATCTTATCGTGTATCTGGGCTGTCAGCAGACGCGAAGAAATTTGGCTACCACTGTAAAACAAATTAATGGAATATCCTACAATTTCATAATATATGTTGTATATTTTCCAGGTAGCAGGGTGACGTCTAAAGACGTAGGCTGCGTTCCTATATCATCACGTACACTATAGATTTTCAGTACTGGCAGTGAATATCAAATCACAGCTGTAATGGCGTATTATTGACGTTTGAGACGTCATTAAGACGTTATTAGCACGTCATTTGGCACCACTC